GTTTTCTTGAAGTTTAGTTGCATACGGTTAACAAATGTTCATTCGACAATAGATTTGACCTCATTAGCTGCTGAGTTACTGTTGCTAGCACCTGATTTTACAGGAATACTTAAAGTTAAATCATCAGCAAATTTCACATAACAAATACTGGTGTAGCTAAGACAATCACTTAAGTTACGCCATAAAAAACATAAACATAGAAAATAATCATGCAGATAAAAATTTCCAGGTGTGAAAAGGAGAAGAAAAAAGAGAAGGAAAAGGATTTTTAAAAAAAGGTTGAAAGGAGTAAAAAAGGATAAACATTATAGAAAAATATGCTTCTGCCACAAAAAATGACTGTAGTATTTAGCAATACTAGAGGGAGGGAAATATTTGAATAACTGCCGAAAATATCTTAATTTTACTGAGTAGAGAGGGGGGAGCTACAATCTCAGACAAAAATAGTTCAGACACTTCCACCCAATGCTGTTTTTTTGCTTCTGGCCTGTCTCCTTGTCCTCTCAATGTTATTTATCGCAGTAAACTCACCAAATCTTGCACACCAACACTGAGAGCGCAAGAAGACAGCAAAGTGTCCCAACAACTTCAACTGAGACTGTAGTTTTAGAAGGGGGTGCTTATTCATTATTCTGAATATGGGACTCAAGATTACATTTGTCTCAGGTTTCAAATGAAAGAACAATTGGGGAAACTGTAACATTAAAAAAGTAGAACGTTTGTTCACTATATAACCAAATTTGACGGTACTGTGTGGCTTTGAAGATTTTGTCATGACTACGTTCTGCGAAGGAGCTGGCCATCCTTCATGACCAACCATGTGATGTCATGAAATGGGTCATTCTCTGGTATTGGACATGTTATGTTACATTCATTGAAGATGAATATACCGTACACCATATATTCAGTAAGGGCCATTTAACTGGGGCGCTTATCAGAGGCACCCATGCAACAACGGTTTCCTCCTAAATGCATTGAAATCACCTTTTAGGCTATCCAGATCAGTGCTTTTTTTATCTTCAGAAATACAATCTAACCAGCGCTATAAAATTTATATCTGTTCAGTCATCCTATAGCAACTTGAGTCTTTTCCAAATTACCAAGGCTTCAGTACTATTTTCCCGAAAATTTTAGATGCAACTTAAAGTTTTACGAAAGTGAATTTTTTTCTGATTCCTCTTTTTGCTTTTTCTTCGAAAAATAGCTTATCCTGGGAAGTGAAACGTGAACAATTAAACTTCAGAGGATTGTAGGGAATTTATTGGATAAGCTTTGAAAATTGTACATGAATGGAACGGTCACCAAGAAATTTTTAGCCTTCCTCAAGATATAGAAAATTCTAGGCAATTTTTACTTCTCCAAACAGATATTTTTACAGAAAACAGTCGTTGGGTGCCTCTGGCTTATTTGATATTTTCAGCCTAAAAGAGGGCGTTTATTTGAAGGGGGTGCTAATTATTTAAGACTAACATGATAAAAAAAATTTGCATGAATGCAAACTGCAACTTTGACAGGTTCTGTGCCAAAACATGAGGTAAATCATGTCAAGAGAGAAAAATCAAAAGAACAGCCTTTGTTCTCCAACTGTTTCTGTTTTTCACTGGCCCTAAACTAAATGCTATTAGGCCTGAGAACTGAATCTAAAAAATTGGTATAATTTCACTAAGGTCACATTACTTTTGTAATTAATCACGATCACTGATTAAAATGGAACTTGATTCAATGAGCCATAACCACTAAACTTTAGAGTAAGAGGACATTCAGCGGATATTTGGCATTCTGCGAAATTTCTCTGCAGTTAAATTATTAAGGTTTTTTTTGTTATCGTTGACATAGCAGTCAAAGCGCCATCTTTTAAGATCTACATGTTATCCGCATTAGTTGTTTAAAAATGAATTATAAAATTAATACTACCAGTGCCGCTGTTGTCTTTTTAATTCAATTACAAGTTAAATTTTTCAGCGGAACGGCATCTTTAGGCAATATGTTTTTACAGGCTTACTAGCCATGATAAGTTTTTTTCTGAATTTTTAAGTGTAAACATAGGACTGATAACACAATGCATGAATTATTGTTTTTGTTTCAAGTCTGCTTCCCAGAATTTTTTATCTTAAATGACCCACCCCTCATCCTAACATTCACAAGATCGGGCCCCAATCATGTAGGGGCCAGAGGGGATGAGACATGTGATCAGCTGACTGCCATTGCCTTTTTGCAACATACACAATGGAGCCATTTTTAGATTGGGCTTTGCCACAGGCAGCCCAATTATTATCACCTCACGGGGTAAGGATGTTGTTCCATTGGATAAATTAAAGGAAATTATTCATTTTTCAAAAGACATGGGTTGGTCAAAAACAAAACACTATATTTGGACATGGCCTCAGTAAACACTCACTGCCTGTAAGCACCTAGCCTAAATGTCACGCATTATTCTGGAGGGAAAGGAGGGGAAAGAGAAGCAAAAATTAAAGAAAAGAATAGGGTAAGGGAGAAGCAAACTCTCCTCTCCCTACTGGCCGGTCATTTTAAAACTTCACCACCCCCTCTCCTGGGTGGGGAATTTGACCCTTGCCTGGGTGGGGTGGGGAATTTGTACCAGAATAATTTAAAGAATAATGCATTCTTTTTTACATTCAAAATTACTCGATGTCCTGGTGGATTCCGTCTTAAATTCTCTATACGACCTGGTGTCTGTCAACATGGTTACGATAGCGAGAGCGAGGAGTTTACAAGTGAAGATACAGCTTTTGCAAGTAAATGACTTGTTCGACAAGGATTTCAAAAGCTATACAGTATTTTTGGTTATAATTTACCCAAAAAAGTGTCTAATTTTTGTAGTTCGATTGCCAATCAACATCATGAGGATTTTGTCAGTCCAGGTGGCTGCCATAATACCAGGTTTTTCATTCTCACTGAACAGGAAAGAAATATATATAGATAAGATGTAAAGTGAGAAACTGAACTTCTATCAAACAAAAAATTCTTTCGGAGGTACCTTGTGCAGTCAGCTGCTTATTTCAAAAACAGTGAAAACAGTGAGAAATATGGGCGACATCAAGTAGAGGATCAAGAAATATAATATCACTGCCTTGTTCAAAACAAAGTATCAAGATCAGGCCTGTCTTAAAAAGTTCAGATGCCTGGGGGTTTACCAGGGGCACTCTCTTATTTGGCCTAGACAAGTATGTGCCACTGAACATGATAATTAGGTTTTCAGGAACTTGAGTTCAGGGTACACAATTTCAGTACTAAAAGTATTGTGTGTTTTTAGACTAGAAGCCTTTAAAAGAGTGTGAACATTAGCGACAAGTAGTTTACTTTTCTGCTACAACAATCCTTTTCTGAAAAATTTTATTCCTGTTTTACTTATGGTTGAATTTCTATTAAGAGCCAATGTCTGTAATTTTTGAGAATCGGTTGACAGTCGTGAATTTTTGAATCTCTTCATATTTTGCCCAATAATCTCTATAGTACACTTATTTCAAAAGTCACGATAAAACTTGCAACAGCTTTTTATTTTTTCAGGAATCAGGCAAAGTTTGAAAAACTCTAAATCTGCGCTCTTTCGAGTATGAAATTAGCGAAAATGGAGCATTTTCTTCGCACTCATACATAAAAACGGGATAATATCTCTAAATGAAATCAAGTCACAAAACAGACACACACTTTTACTTTATAATTCAGCAATTAACTTTAAAAAGCACTTTCAGGACTTTTCAAAAATGGCAAATTTGACCTAACTTCACCATCGTAAAAACCCAGTTGGTACACGGAATTTCAATATGAAACAACACCTGTATTGAAGCATATCCTTTGTTTTTGTTTGTGTCAAAATATTTCTGGCGGCATTTCCATTTTCGAAAATGGCGACAGACTTCTCTCCTTGCTCCTTGCCGCTAGGTGGTCGTTTTTGCCTGAGCGATACCACCACAAAGGAGTTTTAGCACACAAGTCACCGCAGGTGAAAACTTACTGAAGAGGGCATTCTCCATGTGAAATTTAAAATCGAAATGAAAGGCTATTTTCAGCCTTTTCTCTCTTTTCTCCACAACGTCTTTGGTTAAAAGATGGTAAGTAAAATGGCTGAGACATTTTTAAGCATATTTTCATTTACGCGACGGATGTTGATGTTATGAAAAAGAACTTGTCTGTGAATTGGTTAATTTTTTTAGCCTGCGAACAAGTGCCGGGGCATGAGGCGGACAGAGCCAGGTGACTATTCCTTTTTTCACGCAGGAGCTAGCATGTACATATTGCAAGCGTCCTATGTGGCTAAAGATAGCTTTGCATGCACGAGATCTAGACTGGCTCTGCCATACTGTGTAGACTGGCCTTTAAAGGCCTCTGTTCGGGTGGCGGGGTATCAGATAATGTACAATTATTATTCTTCAACACCAGGTTGAGGTCTCGCCAGAAGATGCCCTTACCGCAGAGGAGTGAAGCAATACTACTTTCAGTAATTTAAACATGTTAAATACTTGTCTTTTGCTCATCAAATGTGTCCATTTGTGATTTTTCAGGAACGTTCTTTTGCGGAGCATTAGCCAATTTTCTTTAAACAGTTTTACTCCTTTCCACTTCCCTGCTCTACTTTCATATCGCATATGGCATACGTGGGTACCTACATCCCTCAATTCATGCTGAGGTGATCGATAGAAGTCTATACGCCGAGCAGGGTTAAGATCAGTTTATTACAAGCAAAGGCTCAGAAGGCTAAGTACAAATAAAAGAAAACTAGTGTGAAAAGTTTTGCAGAATCGACTTACTCCATTTGTTTTCTTTCTAGGTTTGAGTTTCGGCTTGTACATCTTCTGAAATCAAGTTTAGTTCGACATATTTTAGAGAAGTTGTTATAGAACTAAAAAAAATAAAACTGTTTTAATTTTCAATTTACATTTCTTGTACACTCGTGCAATGATTTTTCCTTGTCTGTACAGTTGTGTGACCTGACTCAAATCACACACAGGCTTTCATCACGCAACACAGCGTTTAGTCCGAGGCTAAATGACACAAGACTTCACTAAACTGTGGCCAGTTACAGTTGAAACGACTGTGGTAAGTAAATTCTCATAGATCTCGTGTCCCATTCAGAGCTAGCACGCTGTTTCTAGTGGCTTTATTTTAGGTGAAGAAACTCGCGTCGAGGTCAATATTTAGACTACAAGCTAGGAACTTAACAGCGTTGTCTTTTTCAGCTACTTGCATGCAATCAAATCCAGTGTTAATCTACCTAGTTCTTTTTTGTAAATATCAAATTGAAAAGCGTTTGTCAAAAGTTTTAAGAGCTTCCCGTGATGTGCCCCTTGTATAAGAGGCTAAGTTTGCAAAAACGTTTGTGTGTCTACACTCGCGGCCAGTTTGTTTCAGCGTTCCAACTTGCGAAACTACCCTGCACGTTTTAGTGTCTCCGCGACACACTTTTGTAATGCCGCGAAAAAATTTTTAACACAACAAACGGCAAATGCTGTGCTTTAAAATAGTGTTTGTTTTATGTTGAAATTCCATGTACCAATTGGGTTTTTTCGATGCTGAAGTAAGGTCAAATTTGCCATTTTTGAAAAGAGCCGAAAACGTGTTTCTTCTTTCGGCCAACACAGTCCTATTTATACAGCTTATCTAAAGATAATTATTGAATTATAAAGTACAAGTCTGTGTTTGTTTTGTGACTTGATTTCATTTAGAGATATTATCCCGTTTTTCTGTACGAGCGCGAAGAAAATGCTTAATTTTCGCTAATTTCAATCTCGAAAGAGCACTGATTTAGCGTTTTTCAAACTTTCAAAAGATTAATGAAAAAATAAAAAGCCGTTACAAGCTTTAATGTGATTTTTTAAAAAAGTGTTCTGTAGAGATTATTTGGGAAAAATTTAAGCAGTAGGAAACATTTTCCGTGTTTGCATAGCCTGATATAAACATGAGAGGGGTTGGGAGAATTTGAGACAGTTATGCAAACCCGAAACGAAGTCGAGGGTTTGCTTTACTGTCGAGAATTCTCCCAACCCCTGGAGTGCTTATATCAGGATATGCAAACACAGGAAAAAAATTTTCTATTGCTTTTATAAAATAACTTCCTCTAAAAACTACAACGTGGGAAAAGATAAAAATTCATTTTATTGATCAAAACGTATCTTCCTACAACATTAATTTGACAGTGGCATTTCTCAACTGACCAATCAAAACTTACATTTGAAAATCTGGTGATCAGCGATGTGGCGTGTTTACAACTCGTTCCGAAACTTACATCAACTGTCGAAAATTCAATTAAAATTTCTTGAAAAAATCGAAAAAACATATGTTTTCAGAAAGTGACAATTTATATAACTTGAAGTCAAAGTCACTGAAGCTTATCGTGGCGATGAATGTGAACTTGACCAATCTGGCAACCAGAAAACATGGCAGCGAAGCTGACTTTCTCATCATGGTGAGAGTAAATATTCTGTGTTGGAATGGTGCAGGTAGCTATGCCTGAGGTAAGATCTGGTTGCTGTGTTACTTTCTGAGGGAGCAGATGTTGATCAGCTGAATTGAGAGCAGTGGACAGCACGTTGCTGCAAAACTGGAGCTGCTGGGAAGAAGGACGTGTGTTGTAACTGCGGAGGGAGTTTTCATTCCTGTGGCCAGATAATGACATTATATGACGATTAGACAGGCCAGCATCTGACCACAGTGTAATCGCTGTTGCCCTTACACTGTGGTTAGTGTAGATCTTTGAAAGGTTGGCCGCTTTGCTGAGAATTTTCATCATATCTCCGAGCTTGTTCACCCCAAGGCATCGATTCTCAAACCACACTCCTTCTTCTGGTCTCTTCCAAGAACGCTTTGGGTATTGAAAGAAAGCGCTGCATTCAGGATGTAGCTTCTCCAAATAAAGACGAAGGGCATTATATCCGTCATTTGGATGCTCTGTTTGGTACATTCTGCCAAGCTTTTCAATGCTTACGCTGTTGTCGCTCAAACCTCCTTGATGATTTTTACTTGCCTCGTCATGCGCCATTGTCACGTAGCGCTTTCCGTTTTCGTCTTGGAGAAAAACAAAGCAACTTTTCTGCAGATTTCTTTGCTCTTGACGTCCCTGACAGCAGAAGTAAAGGGTTATGTGGAACCACACGTTGTTCAGGAGACCCTGAGGTGTCGAGGGGCTCATAACATCGCCCTCTTTCAGACGTCGGAGATCCTCGTTCTCAATACAAGTTTTGTGCTTTATGCCTTCTTCTCCCTGTTGCTTCATATTTTTTAGCTTAGCATCAAGCATTTGATTTGACTGCTGGAAAGCAGGGTCAGTGGCATATACATACGGAAAGAACTTCCCGCCCAACAAATTTTTGGAGAGATACGGTAAAGCGAAACCAAGCAACGTACTCCTGCTGTAATTTCCACCGTCTTTGTTCCTAGCTTCGGCATAAAAGAGTCGCAGGTTCTTGTTCAGCTCCTCTTTGGTTTTTCCCCCAATATTTTCGTCAATGCCTCGTGCTGAAGCCCATTCTGAATGAAGAAAGACCAAAAAATATCAACACGACGTAGGTGTTGAAGGAGTTTTTATTTTTATTAACAAAAATTAAGACTTATTTTTTTTTATTGATGTATTGTTTTTGCATAGGCGTAGTGGAAAGTTTTATTTGTTACATTTTAACGAGTGGTGTGAATGTAAACTTATGTGTTAATTACAAAATATTTGTATTTCACAGAAGTATTTTTACTGAGAAATTACCTTTGAAAACTGACACAGCATAGTTTGTGGCACACTTTGTAGACTTCGCTTGGGCTCCCTCGACGAGGTCATCCAAGTCATCATCGTTCAGTTGTGCAAATCTTGTTTCTTCAGTCTTCTGCCGTTTTGGTTTCAAATACTCATCTAGGCTCAAATTGAAATTTGGGAAATCTTCGTTCATTTCTTAATTTCAGTTTGAAAAGTAAAAGAGATTTGACAACCGAGAATGTATCCCTGAATTTATTCAAATTCGCCACAAAACGCAAAAATCTTTACATCACACAACCATGTTTACATACTCTCATGCAAATACTCCTCTAGGCCAATCAGAGCGCGCGTACTATCTTAGTTATTTTACAAATGAAGATATTAAAAAATTCACAACTGTCAACCAATTCTCTAAAATTATAGACATTGGCTCTTAAATGACGACCCTCGAGGTACCGGCAAGTCGTGGCTTGGAAGCTAGCCACTCCGTCTAGAGGTTTACCATAAATTAGCATTATAAGTTATACTTTAGAAGAAACTATACTTTGTTAAAAAAAAAAAACGTGCAAAAATGGGAGCAGCATTAATGGTCCAATTTCAGTCACCACTTTAAGACTGTATTTTCCTTAATCATATTTTTAAAGCAAAGCCAAACTAAGCACTTGCTGGTTTCTTAATGGAGGTGACAACAATACCTACGAAAACTCTCATCTGGATGGCAAAAAGGTGACCGCTTAATAGAGGTCTATTTCTTATTTTAGAACTTTGACTACTGGCCGCTTAATGAGGGTGTCGGCCACTAATAACAGGTAGCTGCTTATTGGAAGTTCAACTGCAGTAATTCTGTATGTGAAATGAAATGAATCAGTAACTCTCATCTTTTGTCTTAACCCATTCGCTCCTGGAGATTTTGCCGAAAAACGCGTTTTGAAGCTAGTCGAGTGGTTTTCTGGTCACTGTCGTGCTATAAAGAGCTAAAACTTACCACAAACTGGTTTACAGGTCGAACACTTCGCAGCCTTTTGATCCAGATGCAAAATATCAGCTTGCGAAGTTCGGGCATGCGCAGAAAGCAAAATTTCGACAGTTTTTGGGTTTAAAAGTGACACAGCAGTCTTGACTTTTACTTTTCGCTTTCTCTCCTCCCTTCTTTTTTTGCTTTTCTTGCCTCATTTTTTTTTTCTCTTGCTGGGCATTTAGTAGGCTTGATTTTGGTGGGAAGAGTTTTTAGGAAAGCTTTTAGGATCTTAGGATTAGGCGAAAGGAAAGGTAGGTGGGTAATGGGACAAGATTTTCATGGAGATTTTCAGGTCAATGTCACGTGGTTTTTTGCTTGTTTCTCCGGTGTCCTTGACTGAATTGTGCTCATTCTGGTATGGTTTGAAAGATCTCTTCACTCTGCACAAGTTAGTGAAGAAAGTTGTCCTTGACCGTTAAAACTGATGACGTCACAATGGGTAGAAAGGACCTGGATCCGCACGGGCGGTTACGGGCGGTTCAGGGGCGAATGGGTTAAACAGGGTAGCAAAAAAAGAAAGATTTTGTCTTAAACAGGGTCAGCCTTTGAAGGCCTCAGCAGCATACCTCTACTTAAACCTCTTTTAAGTGCCACCCCCCAGGCCGGGAGGATTTTAAATTTTTTAATTGACTGGTGCATTAAAGGCGAGATAGGCAAGAACAGTAAAACACTACCTTCAACACTTTCAGCACAGCAGTTGTCACTCATCATCTTCAAAATGATCTCTTTGAATTTCTCACACTGGGTGTCCCAAGGGAATGTCTTGTTGTAGCTTTCTCTGAGATTAATAGACGTTTTGAGTCTTTCATCCGGCTTGTTCTTGGACAGAGTTCTGATTTTTTGGGACCACTCTTTGGGATCTTCTGAGTCAATGATCACAGATTTCCCACCGTCAACTTTCTTTAAAGCTTCAGCTATTCCAGATTCACTGGTAAGAAGAACAGGAACACCAGCAGAAATGGCTTCTAAGGCGATCAGACCAAAGCCTTCAGTACGAGAAGGCATAGCAACCAAGTCTGCTGCATAGAACATCTCTCTCACTTCATCTTGATTACAGTAACCACGTACTGTTAACTGCCTCCTTGTTATGTTTGTATTTTGTAGAAACCAGTCCATTATATTTCTATGTTGGCCTTCAGGTGAACCAACAAATGTCATCTTAAACTTCTCCCCAAGAGAACCTACCGCATTGGCAATAATATCATAACCCTTGAGCGCCAGATCTTCATAAGATCCTCTCCCAAAGACAAAGACACTGAACTCGTCAGGACTATGCGAAACATTGGCAAGTTTCTGATCTGAAAGACTGACAAATTTATCCAAAATTCCAGGGGTGATGCAGTGAACGTTCGTGTCTGGGAGACATCTGCTGTACTTTTGCTGCAGTCGTGAGCCAACAGCGACAACGGCGTTTGATTCTTTGCAGAGTTTGATTTCCTCTTTGTGCTTTTTCTCATTCTCTTCTACTGCATCTGTTTCCGTTTGTTTGTACTTTCCAAGGTCTTCGCAAGATACGTGTACAAACTGCACCCACTTGCAGTTTGTATTTTGTACAATGCAATACGACGGGGTGCCAAACTTTCGTCCATGGCCGATCACAACATCGGGCTGTGGGAGCTCCGAAGGAGAAAGTCTTAGCCATTCCAAACGATCGTAAGTTCCTGGTACACTCTTTGCCGTTAATAAACTTACGCCATTTTTATTAGCATCTTCTCTGTCCGATTCACTGCTCTGGCAGACATAGCAGTGAACAGCAAAGTCATCCCTTGATGATCTAGCTAGATTGATGGCAAATTCTCTATTGAAAGTGGACAAACCGCCCTTATTAGAGTTCCACTCGTCGCACACAAATAAGACTTTCAGAAGCTTCGACTTAATAATTTTTCTTGATGTGCTTGGTGTCGAAACAGGAAAAGCGTCATGAAATGCTCTCTTCATACCTCACTGAGATCTGCGCTGGTATTCCTTCAAAGAGTAGGGATGGCGGTCTGGAAAGTGTAACGGGGAGTACTGGAGCATTTACACTTGCCTGCAATAGCGACGAAGGGTCGAAGCTTGACTCTCTCAAAGTCCATCGCTTAAATCTACCACTCGCATTTCGCGCTCGTGAAAAAATTTGAGCTCTACTTGTAGGCAGATCGACGAAGCGAGCGAAAACGATCGCGACAGAGCGCGCTTTAATGAGGGCGCGCTTAATAACGGCTGGACATGCGCACTAAAATGCAAGCAGTCTATGGGCGCGATCCATTCAACCAAAATTCAGACCGGTCCGACCGGGAAAAGAGGACCACCTCAAAAGGTGGACCTGTTTTTTCGAAACTTTTCCGGTTGGACCGAACCGATCCATTGAGTTTTGGACCGAAATTTCCGGAAATTTTGGTTGAATGGATCGCGCCCAGGGCGATGAATGGGCGCGATCCATTCAACCAAAATTTCCGGAAATTTCGGTCCAAAACTCAATGGATCGGTTCGGTCCAACCGGAAAAGTTTCGAAAAAACAGGTCCACTTTTTGAGGTGGTCCTCTTTTCCCGGTCGGACCGGTCTGAATGTTGGTTGAATGGATCGCGCCCGTTGAAATCAGGACGTTCCTTGCCAAATTTGTCGCGTTAGAGTTTTCCCACTCGTGGTTTAGGATGGCTTGTTACATGTAACCAGCGAAATCCTTCGGGATACCGGCAAGTCACGAAAGGCGACCTAAGCCAAATTATTTCTTTCCTTCATGATTCTTTTTTGTTTAGGTCTAGCTTTTTCATAAGGTTTTAGGAGCGTCTGGTTGCGGGCCATGATTTCCGATAGATTTTTCTATTCGGAGTTCGCCAGTTTTTGCCGAGCACAGCTTGAGTTCAGTTTTTTTCTTTTCTTATCTAAAACACCTTGACGATCGGAGGTTAAATCGCGTAAATTTCAACTCGTTCCCTTGACGATTGGCTGTGAAATCGAGAAAATATTGTCCTCGTCGATCGACGACTCGCTTTTGGCATGGATTGGACTTCTGGATGGGACACGGATCAGGACCTTAGTACCTTAGAATACCTTGGAATAAGGGATAATCATTGGAACTGTGTTAACTTTGAGACCTTGGAAACACATTGCAATTAATTTTTAACCGTATCAAGAGTATCTTGGAATATTAAACTTTTATCTTGGATTAAAACATTGGAACTTTATCGACTTTATCGAACTTTGTAACCCTGGGTTCCACCCTGGATAAAGCAAGCGGATGTTTTGTTTTGTTTTGTTCCATTAACCTAAAACTACAATGTTTATTTCTCTTTGAAAAAGTTACCTGTGGCAACTTACTACCAAGATATGACGTATCTTTATACATATGGTTCCTGTTCAGGTTAATCAGAGAGCATTATGCGCATCATCTCCATTACTTGTTTCCGTTAACATTCCAATTTAAGTTACACGGGTAAACCTTGTTTTGATGCAAAATAACTTCTTTTTCTTATCCAAGTCGTGCTATGACTGAAATAACTACATAGCGATGGATCAAAACAAGATCAACTCCATCCTTGCGACCACTGACAACTATAAATTTAGCTTGCGTAGCAGGTGTCGAAAGGGGTAGGGGATAGGGAGGAAGCACAAAGGGGATGTGGATGGCGGAGAAACAGTAGCCTGCCACGCAGGCTACTATAAATTCAGTCATACGCACATTAAACCAACCCATACAGGTAACCTACTCGTCGATGCTCATAACATGACACATCTTTCCGGTTTACCTAATTTTTCCAAATTCAGAGACCAACGCATCCCACGGAAACGACTTTAGGCGTCTTGTTTGTTAAAAAATAGGCTGATTAGGGAGCTTTAGCAGTGACGACGGCAACGGCAGCGAAAACGTCAGTTTTAAAATGAATTCCCGTTTTTTCAATCTTTGTAGCGTTTATTCCAATTTGCTAAAAGTGGCAAATGTAGGCGAATTTCCCTGGAGTTGATTTCTTGAGGACCGCACTCAAGTTTAGGGACTGAGAAAAAGAGATTCGTCGTCGCTTGTTTACGTCCTCCATAAAACTTGCAATTAGGCATTTTCACGTCGTAGTCGCGCAAGGACGGTAAAGAAATGTACAAAAAAGCGTGATAAACCTATTGCTTTTTTGACGTCCTCTTTGCTGTCGCCGTCGTCGTTGCTAAAGCTCCCTATTTAGCGCGCCGTTGTCAACTGACGTTCCCGTTCTTTTGCTGACCTCTGTTGCTAAATCAGTAGGCTCGATTTCCGCCGTCTCCCGGGTCCGGTCTTTGATCTTCCCCAAAGAGAGCAATCTACATTTGTGGTTCCAACAATTGCGCCCCCCCCCCCACCCCCCCAAAAATCTAATAATTCCATGAAGTTACGTATTACTTTATTTTGTACCCAAATTTCCCTTGTGTTCAATGTTCCAGGATGTCGGACTTTTCCGCCAAGATTAAGATGGACGAGAAATGGGTAAAACTTAAGTCTTCCACTCTAAACAAAGGTAATCGGGCCATAATATTCGGGCTCGATCTAAACCAGGGTATCTACGTACACGTATATTCCCTTCGAAGAAGGGGAGACAATTCTCCCATCACGCGTGCTGTCGACTCTCCCGGATAATCCGGGAGACTCCAGATTTTGGACCATATCTCCCGGTATCCAGATTAGAGTACGAATTCTTCCAGATAATCGCCGAAGTTTCCCATTTTTTCAGTAGACTTGACTTTCTGACAATAAAGTTTCAACTATTTTGCGTTGTTTGAGCTATTTTAATGTTAACATCAAACGTTTCCTCATAAACTCCGGTATGCCATTGTAAAATAATAATGTGATTGGTGGGAAGTAAACCAATCAGGTCAACATCTTTTTGCGCGTTTTTTGTCATCGCAAATTCGTCATCATCAGAGAGTACAAACATTAACCACTTTCCTGACGTTTCCTGGCGTTTGCTTATACGGCTTCTTGCATCCTAGATATTTCTGGACTAGTCGTTTTTATTATTACATCTGTATAATTTAAGACGTTCGTCTTATGACGTATGCTGATCGTACTACGTAGTATCATCAGAGAGTATTTTTTGCACAAATGACGTCATGTGCGTGAGCTATGACATCATCCATCATCCCTTCCCTATCAATATTCTCAATATTTGAAGACATGGGTGGTTGACAGCCATGCATCTAGCCTGCGTAGGAAGCGTTTCCGTGTTGCCTGCGTGCAGACGTCTCCTATTTCCTTTGTTGCAACAAAAGGAAATAGGAGACGTCTGCACACAGGCAAGTTTCCGTGCAGTTTAGGAGCAAAGAACGAGGAACGAGAGTCAAAGACCACGCAAAAAAATGGCGCAAGTAAAAGAGCGGGGAGGGGGCTCTTGTTTCATTTTTCGCGCGGCCAAAACCGAGAACCTCGGTCTTTCTTTACTTCGAAACCAAACGGAAACGCTTGCTACGCAGGCTACCATGCATCAGATACCAAAAAGGTCTGACACAGCTTGGCCTTAACGGTCCGTTGTGTCCACAGTGATCCTTCTTCCAGGATGCAATATTTTTTTTATCAACTGATGTGATAAAGGGCTTTTACCACCGCAAAAAGTTTCAAATGCAAACGTTGCGAACGGTTTTTTACGATGGTAAATTCATTCAACTTAGTTGATAAAACCATTATTTTGTTGCAGTCCCCTAATTCAAACGTACTCCTTGGGCATTCGTCGGAGTATCAGTCGCTTGATGCTTAGTTAAGCTTATGCCCCATTCACACCAAAGCTTAAACACGTTTAAAAGCTGTTTAGTTAAACATGGTTTAAAATTGTTTTCTTCACAAAAGCTGGTCACTGACTTATGGCTATTGCAAATTATGTGAAAATTACAGAGAATGTTAAAGTTTATGTGAAATCTTGTGTAAATGTCTGTACTCCAGTTTTCCTTTAGCCTGAGAAAACAGACATTTGGAAACGCCACCAACGGTTTCCCCGGCAAATGACGTCTGAGAAACGAGCCGCTTGTGAAATTTGCTTCAACCAATCAGAAGCCCTACCCAGATCTGGGTAGTGACGCGTCATCAGTATGGAATTTTTGCGCTCAATAGAGTACTAAAGTGATGACGTCATAAAAATGAAATTTCTGAAATTATGGGATTTGTCAGGATATCCTGAAAGAACAATGTCCAAGAGGCCTACTTACCAAAAATGAGCATTTCGGGGCAAATTGTCTATGAGATGTTAGCCGGTTATACTCAGAAAACTCCATACAAACCCTTCTAATTTTTTTCTGGGTCGACCCAAAAAATTTAGAAGGGACGTTGTATGGAGTTTTCTAAGCATAACTGGGGTACGATCTCAGATACACTTTGCCCCGAAATGCTCATTTTTGGCAAGTAGGCCTCTTGGACATTGTTCTTTCAGAATATCCTGACAAATCCCATAATTTCAGAAATTTGATTTTTATGACGTCACACTTTAGTACTCTATTCTCAGACGTCATTTCGCGTGGAAACTGTTGATGGGGTCGCGAAATGTCGTCTGTTTCCGTCGGCTAGTTTTTCATTTATGGTTTTCCTTTTTTGAAACCTGGGTTTATAAAACATGTTTAATTGGTGTGAATGGGGTATTAGTTAGAACGAAGTTCACTGGCCAATTAGGCATTATTCACATGGATATTTTGTTCCGTTAAAGTTTTGTTTGATATTATGCATAAGAAAGTATTCTCTTTCAGAAGTGGATCCATTCATGTCTATAGGAGTTACAAATTTAATACATGCATATAAGAACATACCAACATCCTCTGCTTGCATATATATAGCTTGGCTAATAGGGGTGGGCAGAGGAAAACTAAATAGACCATTTTACAGTTGTGGGTTTAGTACCCTAGCCTCTGAGTGAACGTGAGGCTGAGGTTGCCCTTGTTTTGATACAAACCTCTTTCCTTTTCTTATCAAAATTATGATTAAAAAAGCAAGGTAGCTTAAGAATAACATGATTTACTTAATAAAGGAAGAAGGGTTGCATCAAAACAAGGTCAACTGCAGTCTCGTTTCCACTTGTAACTGTAAAATGGGCTACACCAGGATGGAATTAAGAAAAGGGAAAAAAAAGGAAAGGAAACTGAGGAAGATAGATCTATATAAACAATAGAAGGAGATTCTGACTGAAGTTATTACGATACGTTACAAAACTACAAACTTATTTTACATTTCATGTCAACTTGCTTATTTTATTAATTAAAGTAGGTGTGTCAACATAAGTATCCTCTATTTCCAAACTATGTAAAAGTAGCTGATGTAAAGAAGCCTCAAATTTGTGTTTAGAGAGTACTTTATACTGGCAAGCAGTTTCCATTTCTGATAAGACAATACATTGAAACAAATACAAGCGAATGAGATCTCTTGCATCTGTTTAGTTAATTATTACATTTTCTCTATATCCTCTGTTCAGAGATGCCAACCTCTGGAGACCTAAAATTGGGATACTGTCTTTTTTTCACTACCCCCCGGAATTTCAATGCCCCCCCCCGCCCCCTGAAAAATTGACCCAGCCCCCAATGGGAATGACGTAGGACATTATATGACGTCTTACATGATGTACATACTATTAAAATTCGAAATCATCGTTTTGATGCTAGAAATAATCTTTGTCAATGACTAAATATGTGCAAAAACGCCCGAGAAACCGTACTGTGAATAAGAAAAATTCAAGTTTTGAGCTAAAAGTGGGCTAAATCTAAAACTAAGTCTGTTTTATTTTTTACTAAGTATTCAATATTTATAGTGGACGTTAAAAGCGGGAGATTTATGTACCAAAGCGGGAGAGCCTGAGACGAGGCAAAAAAGCGTAAGTCTCCTGCCAAAAGTGGGAGAGTTGGCATCACTGTCTGTTGTGAATGGAAGCGAAAAGCGGAAACCTTAGTTTCAAACAACTCACACCCCCCACAACCCCCCTGTGCAGAACCTGTCTGATGACTACAAAATTGCAAAAATATACGGTACATTGAAAAACAAAACTGAAGCAATAATTATAAAATCAAAGAATACTTTATTATGCTGTACAGCATTTTGTTATAATAAGCGTATGATGGTAAAAAATTTTTATACGCGATTTAAAATTTTGATACAGAAAAAAAGAACCATACAATAAAAGAAATAACAAAAATGTGTTAATGTATGCTTTGAAAGTTGAGTTTCCAGAAGTGCTTTAAAAGCGTCCAGTGAATTGAATTGTCAAATCTTTTCCTATGGCGTGTTCCAAAGTCGGCGTTCGATGGCCACAAGAAAATTAGCCTTTAAGTCCATTAACTACTTTTCTAACTTTACAATACACTGATTCACGGGTCAGTTCAAGGTGTGCTCATTCCCCCTACCCCCAAGTGCTAACCCCCGTGCATAAACATTTCTCTCAAGGTAGCAAGGTAGCTGCCAAACTGGCTTAGGACACATCTCTTACAACCTTCAAGGTTGAAAATTCTATTTTTTGCACGCCGAGTTGTTCCTGTTGCTTGCTAAAACTAACTAAGACTAACATATAAGAGCTATATCAAATTCCTTATAAGGATAATAATATTTAACAATTATTCCTCAAGCCTAAATGGGCTCTGAGTCAATACCCATGAGGCTGAAGGCCAAATGGGCTATTGACTCAGAGGCCATGAGGAATAATTGTTTTAGTAAAATCCAACTAGCTGGTCAAAAACATGAAGACAAAACAACTTTAGCTGGTTAAAGCTAGACTTTAATCCTTTTTTTGTCGCCAAAAAGCTTGCGCTTTCGCTACTAGTGGGCTATAACATATAGCCTTGTAGTAGCTCAACCAATCAGAACGCAGCATTGATAATAGACCACTAGTTGGATTTTACTAAATAGATATAGCCAGGGCTAAAAGCAAAGCTCTCGATAATATTTATAGTTTGTTCAAACAAAATATAAAATCGTGTAATGCTAAGTGGTGAAAGCATGTCTAGTGAACATGATATCGCCCGCAAACTACTGAAAATTCCTAGCACGCAAGCCCTCCACCTATGAGCTCCCCCCAACCCCACCCCTATTTATATGCTAAACTGTTAGCAAAGGGGCAGGGTGGAGAAAAACACGATCCCTCCCTTTCCCATTCTCCAAATACCCTACCCGCTTCGACGCCTGCTACGCAGCCTATCTACCTGTAAACAGAATATTCATGCGGTTATAAGCCCCCTCGAATATAACCCCCCTTGCTTGCATTGAAATGAATTCGACTTTTTACGAGTTTTGAAGCTTAAGAAAGTAAGAAAGCGATCAAATTCAAAAGTATTTTGATCAGCAACACTTTTTTACTCCGGTTATAAGCCCCTCGGAATATAACCCCTTTACCAATATTCGTGTTTGCGCTAGCCTGCGTGGCAGGCGTTTGAAAGGGAAGGGAAAGGGGGTTTCTCTCGCACCTAAAACTCCCTTTCCCTTCCCTTTCAAACGCCTGCCACGCAGGCTATGTTTGCGCTTTCTCAATATTCAGCGGACCCGACTATCTCGGAGCCTGGAACAGGCTAAGGGCTTACAATAGGAAGTTTACGGCACTCGCGTCGCTTCGTGGTGACGAAATTGCTGGGGGCGAGGTAGGAGCCCGGGGGGCACTTGGGTATTTTTTGGGTGGGTATGTGCCGCCCAGGACTACAAATTGGCACCCCGTTCTAAAAAAAATTCCCCTAAAATTGATACCCCGTTCTAGAAATGGGCCAATTTTTTATACCCAGTTTTAGATTTCGCTCTAAAACTGAAACCCCGTTCTAGAAATGTGCCATTTTTTTATACTCCGTTCTAGAAAGTTTGTAAATTGAAATAGCCCTGTTTTTTTAAAAAGATATTTCTTTATTTGTTTGACTAATACATCAAATAAATGCTTCTTCATAATCAGCAACAATTTTAAGCAGAAGATAAAGCCGTGATCCACAATTTTTATACCCCGTTCTAGAAAACGCCTCTGAAATGGATACCCCCTTCTAAATCAGGAGCTTCAAAATCACGACCCCGTTGGGCGGCACATACCCGTGTAGGTAATGTATTGGAGTACCCCCCCCCCCCCCCCCCGGGGGGGGGGGGGGAAAAGGGGATTTGGGGCCCCCCCCCCCCCCCCCCCCGGGGGTGGGAGAGCAAATGAGGCAAAAACAAATCGTCAGACTTTCAATGGAGTGATTTTTCGTCTTCTTCATTTTTAACAGCAACTATACCGCTCAAACATGAGCTTATGGCACAATCGTACTCCTTCAGGGAGTGTCAGTTTATGTTTGAACTGCAATCGTTACCCTGGGTACAGCGGCAAAGCGGCGAGAAAAAACTTTTCGCGCGGTCGGCTCCTAAACAGAAACCGGAAACCACGCTTAGCCAAAGAACAGCAGGCGGGTGCCGAATGTCCAGCTGTTTCTATGGAAACAAGCGTGACATTGCAACGAATGCTTTCTATGTTGTCACGACTAAATTCTGAACGACGAAATAAATCAAAGATGGCCTAGTTTAGCTCGGCTTTAACGCAAAGAAAATGTCTACAATTGCACATTGTGTTTCTGGTTACGGCCAAGGAACGGATACAACTGCCGTGCTTACAAATCGATCGAAATACATCACTATTATTGGAGACGAGCCATGTTACTCTCGCCATTCGAGAACTTTTCCGTCGGCGAGACACAGAAAGGGAACAAGACCAATGCATACAACAACGATTACATATGAAGTGAAACCAGTTCAGACTTCATATATCAGCTGTATGAAAGCGGTGAGTAAATATTTCCTTTTATTAATATAGTTGAACAGCTGTCTTGTGTTTGAATTTCGATCGCATGATGTTGAAGATGTGCGAGGCGGAAACAAAAACAACAATTAAGTTAAGAAGTGTTTGATAGGATCTCGAAACTGAACTATCAATCAGTCATTCTTGAACAGTCTTACATTTCCGCCAGCATTTACCGTACCCTTCCTTTCAAAAAGGAAAATTTGATGACTTTATTGCTTAATTATTAACACTCAACAATGTCCGGTTTCGTGACTGTATATGGAATATTGTTGGAAGGTCGATTCGCCTGATGGCAGTTTGCCTAGACTAATTTGATTCACCCGATGTGTATTTGTCGTTCTTTAAGCCTGAGAAAAAGGAATAAACGTGGAAAGACAGTGACTGCACATGTGGCATGTGGCACATGTGGTTAACTCAAGGCTGTCAATACCCACCACGTCTTCAAATATTGAGAATTGATAGGGAAGGGATGATAGATGACGTCATAACGCATGGTACATGACGTCATTTGTGCAAAAACATACTGGTTGACTCCAATCGTCACAAGTTTGCGATGACATAAAACGTGTGAAAAAGATGTTGTTGGCATTGTTATATTTGAGCTGATTGGTTTACTTTTTACCAATCACATTATTATTACCATGGCATGCCGGAGTTTATGAGGGAACATTCAATGTTAACATTAAAATAACTGGAACAATGCAAAGTATTTGAAATTTAGCCTGTCAACAGAGATCCTATTCACAGCATATATGAAATGTTATTGTCGGAAAGTCAGGTCTACTGAAGAAATGTATGGCCGGCCATTCCCACTAAAAATACAATCATGTCAAATAGCACAGACAGAACACAAATGGTCTAGTGATGAATTACGAAATGGTTCAAATGATAAAGAAATGATCATTCTTAAAATAAAGTAATCTGGTTGTTTTGTGTGAAATGGTTCACCTAAACTACAAATGATTGGTCAGACGAGAAGCTGTGCACTGGTAGATGTTAAAATGATATCGCCGAACAAGAATCCGTTTGTTTAAATTACAAGCCATCAATATTCCATGTGTGAAATGATCAAGCTTGACAACGAAGTATGATTATTTGAACACGGCCTCCATGAAAAGCAGTTTTTATTTTTTATATATTTTGTACCTATTTTTGTTTGTAGTTAGGAAGATAGGCAGATACTTGGGTTAATTTTTGCTGGGTCTTGCCACTAGCCTCTCAGAACCCCAACCCCGTTATAGTCTAGTCTGTGGCCGGGAAACTGTAATTTTGATGATCCCAACTTTCTGTTTATGCATGTACTTTATAAAGCCTTTTAACTAGGCCACCTGAAATGAATTGACACATTGGTTACACTTAATGTAGTAAAAATATTCCCATTTTGAAATCCCTACCTACCTGAATTTTCTGATTCCCCAAATCCCAAAAATGTATGATCCCATTCTAGTTACTCTAATAAAAATGCAACTCCATTATAGTCAGTCCAGCTGTGAAGATTCAACCCCATCCAGCAGCAAATCCCCATTATCCTATTACTAGGAAGGGGGCATTCCTACAGGCTGAGTCCCCTGCAGGCTCCAATTATTCTCTTTTGGACACTAAGAGGTCTCTGTCAGATCTTATCTTGTATTTACACTGTCTGATCTGTACACTTTTTTAAACAGAATTTTTCTGGACGTAAGGATTTGCTACCTGGTCAGAGACCACCAGCGTACCCGTCTCAACACACTTCAAACTTCAGTATTGGAATTTTACCTGGACAACAGCTTGACACTCACTCAAGAACAACATATGTGAAACATCAAGTCAGACCGGTAAGTAAAGACAATAAAATGTTAGGGTGGGGTGAATAGAAGTCAGTACATTGGTACCCTGGGAGCTCATAGCTTCAGCCTTTGGCTGAAGATACACCAACCAGCAAATGACTCAAAGCATCTCTACTGCACTCAATTGCCACACCCAAGAAAAACCACTGGTACCCATGGTACCTGTGGTGGTGGTTGGGGGTGGAGGCGAGGGGGTACTCAACCAATATTTGGGTATAGGTCGGGCTGCCGAAGGTTTGAAACCCTGATCCTGAATAGGACAAAGAATGTGGACACTGTTTAGGACTTGCCCAGACTTGCCGAAATTGTATACCCTGTTCAGGACAGACTTGTGCAAAATTATTCACCCTGTTTAGGGTAAACAGCACAAAAACCATAATCTGTCCAGTGGCACATCCCCATATAGGTCATATAAGGTTGTACCTCCCAACAGACCAGGGTAGTAGATTGGAGGAGGAAAAAAAAAGCCTCAGCACAAAAGAATAAGTCATGTTAGTTTTCGCTAGGGGGGCAGTTTTTATTTTGCTCAGCCTAAATAATAATTATTATACTGAAGAATGGTTTGGCTTATTTAGTGTTATAGTTGCCTGTAAAGAAAAAACAAATAATAATTATTTTATCATAATCAGCAAACTTACCTATGTGATGATAATTTAACAGGCTGAAGAGGTCCATGAGGATAACATTAGATGGAACAGTCAAATGGCTGGAGAGGATATGATTCAATCAACGAGGCATCAGGGTTCTCAAGAGGTTTATAGTTTTGAATTTGCAGTACATAAAAATATGCAAGGACGTTATCGGTGATGTTATCAGTTATCAGTAATAAAAAAATTAAAACTGTTATTGACAGTAAGATTAGAAGAGGTGTGTTGACAATTTAGAATGTTAAAGACTTAACCCACTAGTTGTTTGGATTCCCCTGAAAGCCAGGACTTCAAATAGGCCAAACGTATCCGAAAAGATCTCTCAAAGTCCAAAAGAAGTTAAGACACTGTTAAGAAGATTTCAGAAATTCTCAAAAAAGGGAACATTGGATTCTTGGGCGTCATTAGGAAGTACAGAAAACGAAAAAACAGTTTGGTAGTTTATACCGACTTTCTGTGCTGAAAAATGTTGAGAAATACGTTTTGCAGTATATATCCAAAATATATATGGTGAAGACTGTGAGATTACTCTGCCTGCAAAATACTTTTCAGTCAAGCTTTCTATGTGGTTAAAGTTCCTTAACAGTATTTCGGACATTT